AAATGTTTTGAGAATGATGAGGGCAATGAACGTACAAATGCGCTTTACACAATTGATGTATGTATGGATTGTGATAAGAGTTGTATGAGCCCCTAATAAAATGATTAAAAAATAAAAGAAGAAGAAGCCAGAGGAGAGAGTAAGATCCAATTCCCAGCCTCCATGTTCTGAGGTCACGACCTCAGCTTTGGGGACCTGAATAGGAATCATGATGGCAGGCCTTCAGAGAGTCATGTCATTGAGTGAGACTGTATATCCCACCCCCAGCTAAGGAAAGATTCTTCTCTTGTGTGTGCCTGTCCTTCAACAGGTCCCCATCCCAGTCACTCCCAACTTGGATCCCCTGCGGATGCTGACCGATGAAGCTGACGTAGCCACCTGGCAGAATGAGGGCCTCCCTGCAGACCGTATGTCCATGGAGAACGCCACCGTCCTTGTCAACTGTGAGCGCTGGCCGCTCATGGTTGATCCCCAACTGCAGGGAATCAAGTGGATCAAGAATAAATATGGTGAAGACCTCCGGGTTACCCAGATTGGCCAGAAAGGGTGGGTAGTTGTCCACAAAAGTTCCCGCTTGTGCCAATTATGCAAAGAAAGAAAATGACTGTGACCCAGTATAAGTCCCAATTATTTCCACATGCAGGTGACTCTGTGCAACTTCACCTTTACCTTCTCCCATTTTAAGAATCATTTTTTCAATGAAGCATGCCTGCGCATTCAACCTTTGCCTTGCTTTCTCCTTAGCAGTTAGATGCTTCAGCCTCTCCGCCAACGGAGAAGTCATTGCTCCATCAGCCCTGTGTTTTCATCTTCCCACGGCTCCTTGAGCACTTCCCGCGCCCCACACTTCCTCTTCCATTGTTGAGCAGCTGTGTGTCTTGAAAGTTCTTCCGCACAAGTAGCCACGAGTTGCTTCTCTTCACTCTGTTAGCCACTCCTCCTACTTCGGTCTTTGGAGCCAAATGGAGCAAATTCGTTCTCCCTTTTCCCTGAGGACCATTTTTGTATTTGTAGTGAGGTGCATAGCAGATGCATTTGTTGCAAAACACTTTGTGTGTTTTTGTCTCTGCTGTCTGCTTGTATACGTCTGTGAAGGGGCGTGGATGGCAGAGGGAAAGGCTAGCCAGCACCATCCACACTCCCAGTGGCCCAGTTAGTGCTTATTACCTCATTCATTCAGAGTTTATTCTTGTGGTGTCTGTACACAACGCTTGCGTGTGTTATTGGGATACATGGGGGGAGCAGGATGGGGCAAAGTGGGAGAGGGATAAGGAAAGCATTCATTTATTGGATACTTTAAATATCCCATTCTTGGGGTTAGGGGCTCTATCTCAAATGCTTTGTTTAACCCACACAACCTATAAAGGCAGGGTTGTGGGCAGCATTCCCCATGTGAGGACGCTTGAGTTTCAGAGAAGTTAAGGCCTATCTTCAGGGGTGCCTCGTTGTATTCTCAAATTCTCTTCTCCAGTTTTATCCTCTCTTTTCTTGCTCGCTTCATTGGCTTTTCCTTCTAATCTGGATCTGTCTCACCGAGCTTGGGACATTCTTGAAACAAACAAACCAGCTAATTCTCCTACTCACATTGCTCCCAACAACTGTCTTTTTGCTCGACTCCACCAAAATTTCTTTCAAGAGTCATGCAATCACTACCTTCAGTCCCTCTCCTCCTGTCCCTCTTAAACCCTTTCCAATCCAGACTCTCCCCACTAAGATGGTCTTGTCAAGGTCACCCAGGGCTTCCATATTGCCAGACCCAGTGGCCACCCTTTTCCCCTGACATC